TGGGGGGAATCATGTTTATTTAGGTTATTTTTAAGCAGCAATATATTAATTCACCTGAGGGATATTTGTAAACAGAGCAGTTATCTCATGTTCTCTTCAAAATAATTTGGAAAGTCCAATTGAAATCACAAGATTATTTAATAAGCACTAATTCCAACTATAAAGAGTTCCTAGTGATGGTGACAATTAGGTTCAACAGAAGCAAGAGAAAAAAAATAACAGGAAGAGGAAGCCGTGGTTCGAGAAAAGCTCTCATCTACTGCTTTCTCCTTGAAGCCTTTTATAATTATCTCATGAGACCATCTCCCTTTTCTGGACCTGTCTCAAGACACATATCTATCTTATACTATGCCAGTTATGTTCATGTGTCCCCTTTCACTTTCATCTCCCTAATATTGACCATGTTCTCCAACTGAAAAAACTAAGTCCCAAATGGGGCTAGGTTCCAAGTTCCAGAGACCAAACGAGAGAGTGAAAAGAAAAAGGATGCTAAAAAATTGACATTTTAAATTCATTTTCATGGTTATGGAGAGGCTAGAGCAGAATACATGAAATGGGTAGACAAGATTTCAAATCTGGAGTACAGCCAAAAGATTTAGTAAAGTAACTTGCACTTGAATAAATAAGTGAGTAAATAAAATGAGGGAACAAAGATCAAGAAACTAGACCTCAAGAATACATGATTCCACACTGCCCAGACATGACTCCACACTGCCCAGTCTCACTAGGCCTACAGTGGGGCACAACAGGAGAGGTGGGCTTGCCATCAGAAAGCACCTTAGAAGTGAGCAAAAAAACTAGGACATAGAATGATAGGTCCTATATGAAGGTTAGTGTGATCAGAAAGAAAGAATATGAGGAAAGTTTAAGATAAAAAAATTCTGGGGCTCCCTGGTGGGGAGCACTATCACCACGAAGGGCTGAGTTTGATCCCGGAGCTAACCCACATGTGGTGCAGCAGACATCTCCTGTCTCACCTACTCGGCTGCTCCCCTCACTCCTTCAGCAGTGTATTTCAGTAGGTCTGCCTGTTCTGTTCCCCACTGTCTCTGATGAATCCTCCTGCCCTCCTCCCAACCCCCAAACCCATAGCCTACACCCAGTTCTTCTATGCAAAAACAAAATCTTTATACGTCAATAAATAAAATTTAAAATTCCCATGATTGCTGGGTGATAAATATAGGCTATGAGTACACATAATTCTCAGATTTGGTGTCATGTAAATGGTTAAGGTGTGAAAGGAGCTGATGAGTTCAATTTTGAAAATGATTTTGACACGAGGATGCAATATCCAAGTAAAAGCTAGGCAACGTTTTTATTAACATTTATTACATGCCAGACACTGTTCCAAGTACACTTTAGAAGAAAGATCTCATTTATTCACACGAACATTATGATGCAGGTTCTACTGTCCTCCCTATTACACAGATGAGAAAACTGAGCACAAGAGTGAACAACTTGCCCAGTCACACAGTTAGTAAATGGCTGAGTCAGAATTTGAACTTGAGTTCAAATTATTGAGTGACTGTACCCTAGACTGCATGGATACTACTTATCAATAAATAATGAGCACACTACACTGTAGGCACTAGGGGTGGGAAGGAGGGAGGAAAGTAGTCGTGAGCAAGGCAAACACGGGACCTACATGCAGAGATGTTCCATGAACATTAACAGTACAATCAGCCCTCTCAACTCCACCACCCTCCCAGCACACACAGCTTCCACACCCATGAATTCAATCAACTTTTAGATAAATAATATATATACAGTATGTGGTTTAGGTCCATGGTGGTTGCAGCTATACTGAATGAACATGTATAGGCTTTTTGGTCACTGTTGCCTAAACAACAAATGTTTACATAGCACTTACACTGCATTAGGTATTAAAAGTATTAAGTATTAGACAACTGGAAAGACATGGAAACATCCCAAATGCCCAAAAGTAGATGACTGGATTAAAAAGATGTGGTACATATACACAATGGAATATTACTCAGCAACCAAAAAAAAAAAACACATGTCTTTTGCAGCAACATGGATGGAGCTGGGAAAGATCATGCTTAGTGAAATACGCCAGAAAGAAAAGGAAAAATACCAGATGGTCTCACTCATAGCAGGAGTATAACGGACCAAGCAAAGAAAATAATAATGAACAGCTATATACCAGAGACATTTTATGGGGGTGGAATGGGGAATGGGATCAAAAACAGTGGGGGGAGGGAAATACACTGGACTATGGCAATGGCACATGGGTAATTTGGTGATGGGAAGCCCACGGGGATTATAACTGAGATGAAAAAATGCACAAAATGATGTAAAAATAAACTTGCATTATTTTTTAAAAATTAAAATGACAATTTTTTTAAAGTATTAGGTATTAGAAAGGTTGTAAATTATATAGGAAGCTATGTACAGATTATATGCAAATACCACATCACTTTATAAAGGATTTTAACTTCCTTGATTGGGATGGGGGGAAGGGAGAGAAGCAGATCCTGGAACCAATTCCCCAACGACATTGAGGCACCACAGATATACAAGTCAGATAAATCAGAAAAAAAAAAAAGAAAGAAAGAAAAAGAGTAAGTTTAGTTAGGTAGGAGAGATTGGTAAACAAAAAATTCTGAAAAAAGGGAAGGCACTGTGTAAATGCTTTCAGATGGGAACCTACGAGAATAGAGGAAGAAAATTAAAGTCTAACACAGCTAGAGTACAGACAGCTAGGGGGTCAGCTGTGGAGACAGAGGAGACAGACAAGCCAAGAGGGTGGAAGGCCTGGTCTCCATGATAAGGAGCTCAGGCTGCCTTTGGTCAGCAAAGGGAAGCCACTGAAGGAATTTAAGCGGGGTACAGGTTTGAACAGATTTGTATTTTTAAAAGATCACTGGGCCCTCCCTGGTGGTACAGCGGGTTAAAGCACTGCACTAGGAATTTAAAGCCACTTTTGCATGAGTTTGATCCCCACCTGCCCTGGAGCTGACCCACATGGCACAGCAGACCTCTCCTGGCCAGCCCCCTGTTCCCTTAAGCAGTGTACTTCCACGAACTGCCTCTTCTGCCCCCACTCTGTCTCTGGTGAAGCCTCTCACGGCTCCTACACCTCTGGCCTGTACCCCAGTTCTGTATAAACAAATAAATAAATCTTAAAAATAAACGGATTACTCTGGCTCAAGTATAGCAAATAGACCAGAATGAGCCAAGAGCAGTTTGGAGGGGGATGGTGGTTATCATGGGACTGCACTCACGAAGTGGAAGTAGCTCCCCTGGGTGGGGTGCCCTTAGGAACTTTCAGAGAGGTCACAAGTCCAGTGACAGGGCAGACAGGCTGATGATTCTGCTGTGTTGCTGGTGGCCTAGGTTTCTCATGGCTAAGGCACATTATGTAACTAAGCTTATTTAGCCAGGATTTGGAAGGGACTAAGACATGCCCTTGTCACCTAATGAAAGTACACCGGAAACCACTGAACATATAAATCGGGAATTCAATAGGAAGAAGGAGCTAGGCTTGAATTATGGGTTGGAGGGAGGGTATTTGAAGCTACTGGAAGAGGAAGAGACCTAAGAAAGTAAATGCTGTAGGACTGAAGAAGAGGGGCAGGACTCAGTTCAGCAGAACTCAGACATTTAAAACTAGATCAATTAGATGGTGGATGCTAAAGAAGCAAACAGGAGCAAAGAACAACTCGGATATAAGAGTGGAGAAAGACCATATCGCGGTGTGGTCGACAGTACCAAATACTAGGATAAGTCCTTGCAAGATGAGAAAGGAGGCTTGTCTGACAATTCAGAGCTGCTTCATATGAATAGTCACAAGAGAAGTTAGGCTGGAGAAGTTAAGGGGGACAGGAGAGGTGAGACCATTGCAATTCTGGCTGCCAGGGGATTGAAAGAGTAAAACAATCTTTTTAAATTGCGACTTCAGCTTGTTTGAATAGTAGAGGGAAAGAAGGAAAGGTTGAAAATGACAGCCCTGGGGGGCACCCTCTTCAGCCCCGAGTCCCTGAAAACGCAGGAGGGTGGTTAGAATGCCAGGTTAGACTTTTTTTTTTGCATGCAAAGTCAGTATGGGGCAAAGGTCAAAATATGAACGGTTTCCATCAACTTTTTAAATATTTGTTGGCTTTAAGGGGCAGAGAGAGTAACAACAGACATTCAAAACCCCGGGAGAGGGCTGCAGAGTTCAGGAAGGAGAATGAAGAGGCAGCAGCTCGGCCTTGAGCGACCTATGAGAGTGCAGTTTCAGTACCGCCGGGTCAACGGAAATCACAGTTCAGAGTGGGAGTGGGTGGTGAAGAAATGGGTGCGGTGGGTGCAAAACCGGCTGTGAGAGGAAAGCGACGCAGCATGGGGCCACGAAAAAGGCGGGCAGGTGGGGGAGGCGGAGGGAGACATTTTGAGTGTCCAGGAAACCTCGGTCACAGCTGGGGTGGAACCCGGCGGCCCTGGCTACCTGCGTCGCGGCGTGACGCCAAGAGGTGCAACAAGTCCCCGGGGCTCTGCCCGCCCGCTCCACCCCACGACCCAAAACAAAACCCAACAGCTCCGCCGGGGGCCAGGTTGCCCCGCCGATCCTCAGGCCCCGCTCCCAGCGCGCCCGGAGGCCGCACAGGGGCCGCTCCCCGCGCGGCCCC